GCACGCCGCTTTTACAAGCTATTTAAAAGCGAGGAAATCAGGGAACGCCCCTGCCCCCACGGTGATACCAGTATTATCCGTGTTGTCACACGTCGATTAACCGGTGGGAAAATTTCCTCACCGTCACAACCCTATTCTCGACATAATAAAAATGCAAACAGACAGACAGACACACAGAGATTCCTGCCTTTATTAGAGAGAAGAATGTGTTCAGCCTCCGAAGCTTCGAATATTCGTTGTTGATTACTACCGAAGATTCGAAGCTCAAAAAAAGGTATTCGGACCAGCCCTACTAGAATGCAGAATTTCATATATAATTCAGAATGGACCAGCAACAAACTAGTAACACCAACTTGCTAAAAAGCACTCTAAACACCTGGCATCAATTTTGAATGCAAGAACCTCTCAAATTTCCTTCAGAAAATTTAAAATGCAGTGCTGTATAATAATAATTTTGCGTTTAGGTAATCTCGTTCATTTTATACTTCATCTTTTTCTAAAGTGTGACATGATTTTTGGAGATATGGAGAATAAATAGGATGGTACGAACATGTGAAAGTCATGTAGCTCTCATGGCAGTCATCTCCAGCACTGGCCTGAAGTTAATGCCACTTAAATTGAATCAGCCCTTTTAGGAGGCAGCCTCTCCTCTGGAGCACCAGCTTACTTGCCAGACTTGTGGCTTTTATTTTTTCACTAACAAGAGGAAATCAATACAAATCTATGATGGTCCATGTTGAAGGCTTGTGGCAGTGGAAGCACTCTGTGGCTTGGCATGATGGGAGTACTCTGATATTCAGTGCAATCTGCTATTTGGCAATATAAACATTTGAATCCTTTATTATTGCAACTAGAATAAAGAGTTAAAATTGGCTCTTAAACTGGAGTAAAACACATTAGTTAATATGTTTGTCGATAATTGTGCCTGTTATCAATTTACAACTGTTTGCGTTCTTATGAATAATTTTTGTACTTGTGTATCTCTGATTAACAGGAACCTGCCATCATGGGATTGCCGTTACCAGCCAATGTGCTGAAGTGAGCTGGAGTTTCCCTCCGGTTTAACCCCCACCCCTCCCCCAGGGGCTACTCCCCCTCCATCCCACCGGAGGACCAGCAATCATGGCAGGAATCAAGCGCGGGTACGATGGAAAGATCGCTGGTCTATATGACATGAACAAGACGCTCGGCCGTGGCCATTTCGCCGTGGTCAAACTAGCGCGTCACGTCTTCACCGGCGAAAAAGTGGCAGTCAAGGTAATTGACAAGACCAAGCTCGACACGGTCGCGACCGGTCACCTGTTCCAGGAGGTCCGCTGTATGAAACTGGTCCAGCATCCCAACATCGTTCGGCTCTACGAGGTCATCGACACGCAGACAAAGCTCTATCTGATCTTGGAGCTTGGCGATGGTGGTGACATGTTTGATTACATCATGAAGCACGAGGAGGGACTGACCGAGGAGCTGGCCAAGAAATATTTCGCCCAGATCGTGCACGCCATCTCGTACTGTCACCGGTTGCATGTGGTTCATCGTGACCTGAAGCCAGAGAATGTGGTGTTCTTTGAGAAACAGGGCCTGGTCAAGCTCACCGACTTTGGCTTCAGTAATAAGTTTCAGCCGGGAAAGAAGCTGACCACCAGCTGTGGCTCGCTGGCTTATTCTGCCCCTGAGATCCTGCTGGGAGATGAGTATGATGCACCTGCTGTGGGTAAGTGTGTTTGTAACTCTGGATAGTAACTCGGCTCAGTAATTCTGACTCCAAAGTTCAAAACGAATAAATGCCTATGCACATTTTATTTCCTCATTATTTTAGTGTCTTGAAAAACTGTTTTGGGATTTCAGTGATTTTATCATGTTAAGGATGTTGTTTGCCATAATGTTCATAGCGGTAGGTTGAGGAAACTGTCTTAACCACCATACTAAAAATGTATTGTATTCAGAGTTATTATTAACTAAAACTAAAACCATAAAAAAATTATTGTTTTGCATGAAATAATCATTAACTGAAAGAAAATATGTAACTTAAATTGATTAAAATTAAATTATATTTTGTTTTCTGCTGGAGCCAGTAAAATTGTTGGCAACTAAGGCCATCAGGATAAAATCAATAATGTTGAGCCTCAAACAAAGTTCTGGCAAATTTTGGGTCACAGCCTGACATCTAATGAAAAAACAGTAAGAGCTCTGTAATTGAGAGATGAGATCTTACAGTGATCACTATAAGATCTCACTGAGGTTACATTGTCAAATTTTTTTCCATCACACTGTAAAAAAAAAAAAAAAGCAAGCCAAACAATAAGATTTGCTCATTTGGTCACATGTTTTTATTTTTATTGAGTGCCACTTATTGCCAGAGAGTATATTTGCATTTCAGTCATGTTTTCCGGGCCGAGTTTTTGTACCGAACATTCGTGTTGGTGTGAACGTGCTTGTACAATTGCCAGAATTTGGCAAATCCAATTTCCCAGAAATGAAAAAATGGCATGAAAAAATGAATATAGCGTGAAAATATGAAAATAGCGTGTTAGCTGTTTCTACATACTTGCATTTGCCGTATGGTAAACTGTCCCAGTGTGAGCAGGACTGATCAGTGGTTTAACAGCAGCATGATCTATTGATTTATTGAATTATCTGTCACTGCAAGGCATCTCCATACTGCTGCCAAAAAGATGGCTTAACCTCTTTATCAGAAAACATGTCAGAACAACCTCCTTAACCCTAGATAGACCAAGTGCGGTTCTTGTCAGTTATGAAGAGGAACTGTCATTTGAGCTTCATGTTCTGGATCATTAGGCTATGGATTCCTGAAGTGCGTTGGCGGATTCCTTTCATCAATGCTGTGTTAGCTCCTCAAGATAATGAACACAAGCGTGCAAGTTTATGCAGGCTGGGGCCTAACCTTTCCAAGGCTAAGAGGTGGTAGAGGCGTTAGGCATGTCGGGGCATGCAAAGCTCCAATCCAACGACTTGGAGTCCAATCCATTGCAGGGAGATGAAGGAAAGATTCCTTTCTAAGTAGCCAAAACATCTCCTGCTTTGCCTCACTAAGACCAAGTGGACCAAAAGTGATTTGTGCCGGCTGATGTCATTGTTTTAGCACTTGATATGAAATATGCAAATCAGATAATGCCTCCTCATTTAATGAATTGCTGGAGCCATGATCACTGATGATGAAGATTAAAACTGTACACAACCACTTTTAAAATAAACAAATACATTCTATAGTTTTGAATAAAAAATATAGCAATGATTTGATCAGTACCATATCACTTCGATTATTGATTTATATTTAATTATGCATGCTCAATTATCCTAGTTTTAAATGTAGAATATTCACTTACTTTAATCTTTAAAAACTCAAATGTATTAACTAGTCACTAATTAAAATTGCTACATTAAATGTAACAATTTTCAAAATGAATACCTATTTTTCATCATTTATACTGTTGGGGTGCCAAAACTTATGTGTATCATTTAAAATAGTTTTTAGTGTTTTATTTTTTTTTATTTTGGCAAAATGTAGAATTTTAGGCAATTTTATGACATTTATTGGTTCTCTGGCATAATATAAAAAAAATAAACAAGTATCAGCTTATCTGTGTTGGCCACAAATGTATTATCAGTGTAATATCATAATATCCATAGAAAATAGGTGTGTTTGTGCTAGGGCTGGACAATAATTCAATATCAATATGTATCGCGATATAATTGTTTTTCAATAATGGTGATATGACGATATACATTGCCAGTGTTTCCCATACATTGATTTATTGTGGCATTTGACTTCGTTGAATAAACATGAGCAGGGCTCGCAAAATCGCTAGCCCGACGTCCCGGGGCTATTGTGTTTTCCAGTCGGGCTACCAAAATGTACCACCACTCTGCCCGACGGGCTATCTTAAATGCAGATCTCCCGCGGGTCCTTAAAAACTCCTAAAGCGAGTTGTTTTAAAAAGTTAAAAAGTTTTAAATACGTTAAATGGTATAAGAAATGTCTTAATTATAATTTCAAGAGGTCTTACAGTTGGGGACGGAAAGACAAGAGTCGCGATACGGCTGGATTAAACTTCAAAAGGCAATGATGTCATTGAATAAATATGAGCGCTGCACGTTTCAAGTCAAAAC